CCAGTTCCTAAAGGGAGCCTATAAACAGGAGGGATGTCAACTCTTTGAAAGGGCAGATAACAGCAGGACAAGGGGAAATGGTCTTAAGTTGAGGGAGGGAAGATTTAGGTTGGATGTCAGGGGGAAGTTCTTTACTATGAGGGTGGTGAGGTGCTGGAACAGCTGCCCAGAGAGGCCGTGGATGCCCCGTTCCTGGAGGTGTTCAAGGCCAGGTTGGATGGGGCCCTGGGCAGCCTGGTGTAGTATTAAATGGGGAGGTTGATGGCCCCTCCTGTGGGAGGGAGGTTGAGGGGGGTTGATCCTCGAGGTCCCTTCCAACCTTGGCCATTCTGTGATTTTGTGATCGCAGCAATTTGCTTAGGCTAACCTAAATCAAAGGACACTTAAGGAGAGATCTGAAGAGATTATTCTTCTAATCACGCTGAAGTCAAGCACTGACAAAACTGGTGTTGAGTTGTCTAGAAAAGGGCAGATAGAAACTAATAGAAAAGAATCATAGAATCCTAGAATAGCCTGGGTTGAAAAGGACCACAGTGCTCATCTAGTTCCAACCCCCTGCTATGTGCAGGGTTGCCAACCACCAGATCAGGCTGCCCAGAGCCACATCCAGCCTGGCCTTGAATGCCTGCAGGGATGGGGCATCCACAACCTCCTTGGGCAAAGAGAACTTTCCCAAGAACTTAAGACAGCAGTGCAAAGAACACAGAGGAATGGGACTGATGCACCACAGGCAAATGATGGAGCAGAGCTGGGAGTCTGATGTGTGCTTGTCTGCGTATAGAGTAGGCTGAACTCTTAGGGTGGATCATACCTTACATAAATACCCATGACTTATCCAAATGAATGGAGTGGCCTGTGTAGTCACCATATCCTGACTACCTATAATTACCATGGGAACCTATTAATTTTTCCATACTACTCAGCAAAGGCTCCAAAGGACAGACTGGTGGAGCACTCTGTTACTGAGTCTATCACAAATACCTGAGTGAATGCAGGCATCTCTCCATGGAGGTGATGAAATTTGGGTGAAAATTCCAGGCAGAGGTGAAGGAGAAAACATCCTTTGCCAAGAGGAGGAAAGGAATTCCCTGGCATTAGGAATTTGGTGTTTTTTCAGACCAGACCTAAGAGCACAGCTTCTTTTCGCAAAGAAGGAAAAATATTTGTGAATGAGGCACTGCTTTTGTAGACCATGTTTAACTTTCACCCTTAGAAAGCCAGAGGGAGTCTAACAGGAGAGCAAAGCCTTATCCTCTTCACAGCACTGAAAAGCAGGGTTTCAGAATGAGTGGGCAACCAACCACACCCAAGAGAGCTTCTATGGAGAATGAGGATGAGGTCAAACTGACAGGAGGGGAAAGAAGGAGAGCAGAAAAGGAAGAAAGCGGGTGGGTAGGGTGTGACAGGGCTAGTTAAAGCAAAGAGTATAATTGGGCTTCCCTATAGACTGAGTGGGTTGTGCCCTGAGGGACAGATTGTATCTCTCACACAATTCCCATACCTTGCAAAAACCTGTAGTGACGTAAAGGGACTTCTGTCCCCACTCACTCTAGAAAACAGGTGATACAGACACAAAAGACTGGAAGATACCTCAGACCCCATTCAGTGGCTTCCATGCTGCAGGCTTCCAATCCAGAGCTTCCTACCACACACACTAAACAAAGCACAACCCAGTATCTGCCAGCAAATACAAGGAGTGTAACAAAAGGTAAACAGACACAACTTCAACGTGCACAAAGAGATGGGTAAATTTGTCAGGTGAGACTCTAGGATCACCACAGGAGCTGGGTATGCAGAGAAACAAATCTCCCTTTCCTTCTGATATTAATTTCTGCTGACCAGGAAATACATCACTGAACAAATACATGGGAAGAAGAGTGGGTTGGGGTTTTTTTTTTGTTGTTTCTTTAAGATACTACGTGCTTTAATCATGAAGCAAATTGGATTCCAGCTTCCTACTTTACCTCAGTTCTTAGTGTTCCTAAGGGTGATTGACTGGTGATGTTTATTTGGCATGTCGTTTCTCTTCTGAGCTTAGCCCAGTGCTAGACCCCGTTGCATTAGGTGCTACACAAACATAAAGGAAAGTAAATGACTTGCACTTCCAAGAAGCTCTTGCCACTTGTTCACTCTTGATGGATATTTGCTAGGTAATTTCTCGAAATAAACCATTAAATGTGTATTAGACATACTTCAGAAGAACTTATCTCAAATTTGAGCTAATTTAATTGAGCAAATAATAGATTTCATGATATTTCTGTGGCCCTGAACATATGAGGTAAGCTTAGATTTTTTGTGGGGTTATCTAAAGCTTCAGAACTCAGCTTTTGAGTAGCTTATTCTATCTCTGTGCCTTGATTCTATGCTTCCTGCTTCCTTTTGTCTGCCTGCAATAATCTCTTGACAGCAGAAGGACTGGAAACTGCTTCTTGTCGCCATTTAATGATTGTGCCATTAAACTTGTCACTGGAATTTGGTATAAAGTGGATCTAATTCCTGTTGAATAAAAACCTCACCTGTAATCATTTTCCTACGTGTCCACCCACATTGTTTTTGTTTGTTTCCTATCAGAAAAGAAAGCTCCCAAATGATTTCTCTTGCTTTCAAGAGAAAAGTTGATACATTTTTCTAGTTGTCAAAAATAAAGAGGGTAATCTTCAAGTGGGTATTCTTATTTAACTAGAAAAACAGCAGGAAATAGCTGTTCAATTCCCAAGTTAATGTTGTTCTTCATCCCCCTTGGATTCCTAGATGACTTCTAAATAACATGGATCACAGGAGTATACAACAACCATTAACAACTTTTCCAGCCCAAAACCTCCATTGCAATAGAGCTCCTGTCATCTACTTTAGATAGAAAGACTACTCAGGTGCTGAGATTTGCCCCAAAATTCATCCATGCAGGAAAAGAGAACAAGTCCAAAGATACTGACCAGACTCTCCTTTCCTGCAAAGAACAACTGATGAAAATACTTGCTGCTACTAGGAAAACTCCTTCCAATCCAATCATTCACAGATGTAATCCCCCAGAGCAAACATAAATACACATTCAAATTAATAGCCATGTGCAGAAATGAATAAATATTTTACCATCCAGCTGGCACTCTCAACATTGGCCTTATCTGATTTCTCAGGGACAGGAAGTACAACCATTGGAGCCACGTGTAAGGAATGCCATTTCCACACTTGGCCAAAAGACTGCAGTTCTTGCTAAGTACAACACGTCCTGTCCTGCCTTCTCCAACTGGTTCATGGGAATTTGGGCAGAACATATGATACGTAACAAACCTAAAGAGGCCTTTCACTGGCAGCAGATGGGCTTGGGGTTAAAAGTCCAGCCTAACACACGAAGAACGTCCTTCTCTGTTTAAGACTTTGTGAAACTTACAGAAAATCCCTTATTCTGACTCTCCATCATTGCTTACAAATTAGATAAACAAATTTTTAGCCAGAGTAGGCTGCAAGCTCTCTGAGAAAAGGGCCATCCTAATTGCATATCTAGTGTTTATTACCATGTGGCCTTTTTTCATACATCACGCTGAAGCACAGAAACACTTCTTATCAGAGAACTGCACATTATTAACCCAGTTGGAACATTTCCAGTGCACATACCATCAAGTACAGATCTCTCAAATACATTTTACACATCTGATAGCTACAAACACTGGAAGCCAACTGCTTGTCCTTGCTGCTGTCAGTCTGTCTCCCCAGTCTGTATCAGCCTCCTTGCCTCAAATATAAACATCCTGCATTCCCATGACATTACTTTGTTCTTGTCCACTCAGTGTCAGTCTGATGCTGGTAGGCCATGGTGATGCCTCTCCTATGTATCAGGTGTAGCAAAACTTTTAATAAGGGCAATTTGAAGGCCTATTCTTACCCTGTGCTGGGAAAATGTGGCTATAAGTAATTGCTCCCTGTACAAGGATGTAACTTAGCAAACTAGATGTCAGATGTGAAGCATGAATCTTGCATGTTCTTTCAGTGCCTCTGCAATTAATATTGAGGAACCCCTCTGATGAGCAGATAGTGAAGGGGGTACAGCTCTGTGATTGATTTTTCCCAACACAAAGGTAGGCTATTGCTAAAAAGAGGGACCAGACCCTTCCCCTCCCTTGGGTCTGCACTTGTTAAGGTTGCAATGAGCAGAACCAGGGATTAGATTAAAACCAAGATTAACATTGTGGAAAGGAAAAAGACTTCTAACTGGATAAACTCCTTGCTATTTTTTTTATCATGTAATTTCATTAAACAAACATAGCTAGGGTTGAGTGCAAGATTGCTTCTTTTGGTGGTACCCACTGAACTCAGTGTAAATTTTTCAGAGAAGATTCAAGGGGACTCACATTCTGAAATACAGACACCATTCTCCTGACTAAGGAAACTAAGTATGCAAGTGAAAACCAGCTTGTAAACTCTTCACCCATTTAAGCACTATCAACTATCCACACACCAACCAGCTGCTCTTTGACTTGCTAGTAGAGGTTCACATACACCATCATGTCCCAGAAGCCAAATAAGTTACCACTTTTCAGCTGAGCCCTAGCAGTAAGTGCCTAAATAGGTGCTTTTTCCTTTAGCAAACATAAGGCAAATCTTTCATGATGACCACACTGTTTTTACTATGTTTTCTTAACCCTAGTTGAATCCTATACCCTTACTTATTTTACTGAATAAGAATCCCCTCAGCTGCTCTCTTGTCCCTCAATTTATCAAGTAGGTTTATACTGCTGCTACAACAGCAGTATCTGAGCACATCTTGATGAGACAGTTCTGTAAAGTTGTTTTCTAATTATGAAACTAATTTGAAAGAAACATAAATATAAACAACCTCAGAGGAACACTGACACTTTATTTACAGCGTGCTACATCCCAGGAAGTCTCCACTGGAAGCTGCAAAGAACTGAATTTATAAAAGTAACAAAAAGCATCAAATTAACACATCAGTCACTGAAATGAGAACTAATCCCCAAAGAGATAAAAGCAAACCAGTTACTTACAGTTTGGCTGTGGTTCTGGGGGGAATTTGAGACGGATGATAGCCAAGATTATGAAAACAACCACAGGCCAGGAAATTAAAATGAATGACCATACCTATAAAACAGCAATGAAAATATATCGGTTATGTTTGTTGTATTGATGTGTCCCAGGGCTTGTCTAGAATACAGAAGTTCCACCCTAAATGAGTTATAACATACACTGTAAATAATGCCTGTCTTGGAACGCATATTACTAAAACTCAAGAATTATCTATGCAGGAGAAAAACTACATAAGATTTTAAGAGTAAATAATAAGACTGAAAAAACACAAGCTTTCCTGTGTTTCAGTTTGGCTGTTGATATATTTTGTACTGATTTGAGACACTGCTCGTAATAGTAAAAGCATCCTTAGATGTACAAGACCTTTGGATGCAATCATCACAAAACCTAACAGCAAAAATGGAAAAGGTTGGTTTTGCTTTTAGTAAAGATGACTTTGATTTGATTAATTATTCCTCAAAAGTCATTTGACATACAAATGACAAGGCTACTTTTTTCTTTTCCCCAGAAGTTTTCACCATCCTTCACAAAAAGCAGAGCCGAAAGAAAGAATTTTCATAGTATTTGTTTACAAGACAGTGAAGGAAGGGGTTTATTATAAAGCTGTGAAACCAATCAGTTGGAGAAATCCCATTCAGTCACTCCTCATGTGAGCTTCTGATCACACAACTTAACTCCCTGCTTCCACTCCACTGCCAAATTGTAGCAACTTATGTAGATGAGCTGAGATAAAAGAGAAATGATGCAAAACCAGCGTGACACGTTGGAAAAAAAAAAAAAAAAAGAAGATTTATAGATCTCTTGCCTTTGACACAAGGGTAGCCCATTTCAATGGATGAGAATGAAGAAAACAGAATCTACTAATCATCCAGTGTAATAAGCCAATCTAAGTACAAGGCCCAAAGTCAGTATTAAAACCGCAAGCCTTGGTGTTTCATAAGCTAGGAAAATGCAATTCTTCAAATAATTAACTGCTTCTGCACTAGCTGGCTACCTTGGTACTGTGTTTAATGGATTTGAGTTTTCCATCCACCAGTACATCTCCAAGTGCCCTGTGCTGCGAAATTGCTGTGCTATCTTCATGCCAATTTTTGAAACTCCAAAAGATGTCTTTCTTCAAAATCATCCCATTTTTCATTGCTGTGTTGCTGTTTCTTTCAGATCAGCACGTATTACCCCACACCATTTTTCTGAAGGTAATTCCAAGCCCATAACAGTGTTTTCATTTCCTGTAACACTTCTTGGAACGTAAAAAAACAAACAGACAGACAAATCCTGGAGAGTGATGAGCTTAAAGATGGTTGTTTTACAGCAAGTCCTTCCATACCTCCCCTTGATGACATGATACACAGCCACAGAAGTGGCAACAGGATTCATGCCCCAAAACAGGGAGCTGACAGGTGTCAAACCAGTTCCTAAAGCATCCTTTTAGAGAAAGTCTTCCTCAAGTTTCAGCATTCAGAAAGCAGCATTTTAGCTTTTACAGACACTATTTTCTTTATACATACACTATACAACAAGATTCATCCCTGATACTAACATCTTTTTATATAATATATCACATTTGCCTTATAATCAGATCACAAACACAGTGTTTAACTTGGATTAATTCATATGCACGTGGTATTATTAAGGTATCCTCCTAGTTTAGTACCATGTAGGCTAAAGTAAAATTATGGGGTAACAGCACTGAAATTGATATTAGTCAGAGGCTGCCTAAAGAAATGGCAAGATATCCTTCATATTTTGGGGGAAGAAATGAATGCTGATTGCCTATACTGAAGAAAATCTTTGTACCTCCCTGTTTGGAGCTAATAAAGTGCTAACATTCCCCACTTCCCAGACAGCTCTTCCTTTAGAATCTCTATCCTTTGATTTAATGGGATTTAACAGCAGCTGGATATGTCAGCTGCCACACAACAGTGTTCTCACTGTCCCAGGCCTTCCTAGTTAATGAAAACAAGACAACCAGCCTGGCCAAACCTGTGCAGGTAAAACACACTGACTTGAATGGAGCCATAATCAACGTCAATTCAGTTTGTGGGATTAAGCACTGTGCCACATGTTGCATAATCCTTTGGTTACTGGACTCTTTCACTGCTAAAAGCAGATTAAAAATCTCAGATTTTTGGGTGTTTGGATGTTTTTTTCTGCCTTTGCCTCTTCTTAAGTAAGTATACTGCACAGAAGTGACAGATGGAAAACAATAAAAAAGTGCAAGAGGCACTGATTTCTCCAGTTCCCTCTGGTAGTCAGGCCAAACCTTGCTCCCTGAAGATTGCCACCTCAACTCATGGCCATTCCTTTCTCAGCAGGAGTAACCTGTGTTGAGGCTTTCCCTGGGTATGGATGAAGAGCTTCAGCTGATTTCATCAAATTGATGGCCAAGCAATCTGTAGCTCTCCCCACGCTGCACAAGCAGAAGCAATCTCTCAGGGGCTCTGAAGAAAGTGCACAGAGGAAATAAAGCATAAAGCAAAATGCAGGATCGAATGTTATTTGCTAGCCCAGGAGAGGCTGATAAACAGAGCAATGGGAAAACACTTCAGTCTGCAGAGGGATGGGAGCTGACTTGTGTCAGAGTGCTCTGTGACATGCCAATCAGCCCTGGGGAAGGCAATGAACATCGCTGCAGCAGCAGGAATGCATTCATGGGTTATCAGAAACAGAGAAGCTCAGAGTGCTTCCCCTGCAAAATGAGCACAGGAAAAAAAAACAAAAACACACACAACAAACTTTCTGAAAGCTTGGTCCATCGGTGCAGACAGATTACACATGTGAAAAATAAAAAAGGAGGAAGCTAAAAGGATAGGAAAAACAGGATGCATTTGGGAGCAGAATTGTGGGTTTATGGCCTCACACTCCCTCCAGTCTGAGCAAGATTCCTAATTTAGGGCAAGAGAGGGAAAGGAAGGAGAGTTGGATGGAATGCAACTTTTAATTGACATTTCTATTCTACAGATGTTTCATCTCTACAAGAAACCAAGGGCAAGTGAGACTGTACAGTCAAATGGGTTTAGGTTAGCATTTACTCCAGATGCAAGAGCTGAAAGAGACCCAAGCCTTCAGGTTTTAACAACCTTGTTAAAATTGCTCTTGAGAAACTGGAGATAATTTGTTGGTATTTTTCTGCATCTCACAAAAACTCTCCAGTATCCTTTGCAGCAGGCCCAGACTTAGCTCAGAGGCACGCAGCATGTCTGCAGCTCCTGGGGAAGATCACAAGGACTCAGATTAAAGACTCTCTGAATCAGGTTCCTGACCTGAGAGGCAGGACAGGGCAGGCACACAGTGGACCTTGCAGCAGCATGCAGTGATATGAGGTCTTTCACTCCATCATTAAATCACACTCTCCATGGTCATTTATCTTGTCAGCCTCTTCTGCACCTGCCAATGCTTTCCATTTAACTAGAAAGTTTAAAAGTCATCACATTTGGATTACTAGCAAGGGGATGGGTTGCAACACCAGTCCATGAATTCCAGTGCAGTTGTATTGAAACCAGCTTCCAAGAAAACTACCAGAATAGGCTTTGCCTAGACATGCCATGCCACCCAAAGGACCATTTGCCTCCATGATTCTGCAATTCACATTGCTCTCTGGACACCATTGGCAGTGCTTTCTTTTGGAAAGACAGACCATCTGGTGTGTTTGATTTGCCACGTACTGGACTGCAGTGGAAATCTGCCCTATCCGTATCTCTCAGAGTCCTTTTCCTTTGGCCATCTGTTACAAAAGGCTACAGAGGATAGCCTTAGTGCCCTCAAGCAGGGAGCAGGGTCTGTTCACGCTGGTAAGGATTTAAGCATCCTTAATTCAAGTCTGCCCATGAGTCTGTGTATGGTTTAGTCTGCATAGACCACTGGTCCAAGGGAACAGAAGCACCCCTGCTACTCATTCTGGATTCCTGAGCCCCCAGTGCAAGATCAACCACTTGGGCTTAAATGACCATCTTCTCTTCCATGTCATTCTTCTCCTTCCCTCTCTGTCTCTACTGACAGCTTCCAGAATATTTATACTTTAACACCATGACTTTCCTCTGGTGTAGAATCCTTTTTGCTCCTCATTCTATAGAATCAACTGAGTTGGAAGGGACCCTCAAAGGTCTAACTCCACTGCAGTGAACAGGGACACCTACAGCTCCATCAGGTGCTCAGAGCCCCATCCAACCTGATCTTGAAAATCATCAAGGAAGGGACATCCACAGCCTCACTGGGCAACACATTCCAGTGCCTCACCACCCTTATTGCAAAAAACTTCTTCCTTATATCCGATCTAAATTTCCTCTCCTTGAGTTTGAAACCATTTCCCCTTGTCCTATCATGACAGACCCTGCTAAGAAGTCTGTGCCCTTCCTTACAACCCCCCCCTTTAGACGCTGAAAGACTGCTATCAGGTCTCCTCCAGAATTTATCCATGCTATCAGCCTGTCCTCAGAGGGAAGGTGTTCCATCCCTTGGAGCATTTCCCATGGTTTCCAGCTCCCGCTCCTCTACGGCTTTGCTTTCACACTCACCGGCTGCCTCTTGACACTCAGCCAGTTCTTCCACAGCAGGATCCTCAAGTGCTGGAAGAGCGCAGCCATCCTCAGCTGACCCAACCAAAACCGTGCAGGCTGCGTATTCCTCCTCCCCAGGCTTAGGAAGCAAAAGTGGAGGCTCTAACCCAAATGGGTATCCAGTGTCCAAAATCCAGGCCCCTGTCTCTTCCCCACAGCATAGCTCTGAAGCAGCTACTTCATCCACTTGTTGCTGCTGCGCTCCCTGTAACCGTAGCTTTTGTCCTCACAGCAACAATGCCTAGCAAATTTAACAGGTTATTCTTCTCCAGGCAGGCAGGCAGACGCAGCAGCCTGCCTCCACTTGCATTAATTATAATATCCAGCCTCTCCTGGCTGCTCTTTCTTCAAGCCCTAACCGATAAAATGGATAGCATTCCAAAAAGATGCTTCTGCTTAAACAAAAGGTGATGCATGCCTCCTCCTCCCTGTGATGAAACTACCTGCCTACCCACACACCGCTTCTGCTGCAGAGGTGTCAGCAGCAGTAAGGAGTTGGGCTGCTTGCCAGGCCTCTCCAGCTTCCCTGAGTTCACAAGAAAGTGCTGGGAAGAAGAAAGTACCCTTAGCTATAGCTTGCACCTTCCTGGCATCACTGAACTGGAATTATTTCTTAATACTTGTGAGTATCTCAAGCCTACCCACCCAGGGAAATTAAAAAACAACAAACAACACAGAAGCTGAAACAAGAGAAACACGTATAAATGAAAATCTAATTACCCAGCTTCCTACATCTTCCATTTCCTTCCAGAGAGATCAGTCCTGGCATCTTGACTGAATGCAATGTAACATATTAAATCTAGACAGCAGAATCAGACCCCGCAAAGATTTCAGCACAGATGTGAGGTTTGAGCACTGTTATTATTCAATTGATTGTTGATTTTTTTTTTTTCCAGCAGCTAGTGGTGAGATTCGACTAAAAACTGGAGATGAAAGGAAAGAGTAAAGTGCAGGGGGAGCACTGGCAGCAGATAGGACTGCTCAGAGCACCATGGACTGTAAATCTGATATAAACTTATCTGATGAGCTCTAGGTCATCCAGCAGTGCTTCATATCCCACCCAGGAGAAGACCAGGTACACTCAATCACCCCATCTGCTAACACCGAAAAAAATACAGCAAAATACTGAAGTTTTGACCAAAAATGGCTTGGAGTACTTTGACAGTGATGAAAATATCTGCATCTATCAGTTTCGTGGTAAAATTTAGAGGTCACTTCTAAATTTAATTTAGGTTTGACTTCTTTAGGGCACAAACATTTTTCCAAGAAGAATGACATATTTCAGACCAGATATTAAAATTCATCAAACGAGCAAAGTGGTCCTCCTCAGATTATTGAAGAATCTAGCTATTTATCCATCTCCATAACACAATAAAACTTCCTGAGAAATGAAAGTTGTGCTCTATGTCTCTTTCCTCAAATTTCCCAGCTTCCCAGATGGGAAGAAAATTGAGCTTTCCCAACTTCTTTAAGACATGGACTCTTCAGTGCTGGATGGAACAGCTTCTCTTCTCCAGTGCTGAAAGGATCCCTGCTCACTTATGAAAGCTCTTGCACTGGCAGCAGGGCAAGGAGACTCATCAGACTGCAATTACAAGAGCTCCAATTACCCTGATCTATTGTCATGGTTTTCATTCCCGTTCTGAGCGGTGTACATGGGCTGACAAAGGACAAACCCATTTTCTATACCCCAATGCTGTTCAGCTTACTATGCTACTTGGGGAACGTGGGACCCTGCCAGTGGATGCAAGTCTTGTCCACCACACAGCGGTCAGCCTCCAGCTGCTTAAGGCATGATACAACCAGACCTAACCCTCCCTGATTAACTAGAACTGAACAGTAAATGAAACTACATTTGAACAAACACGGCGACACTATCAAAACCCTGAAAGGTTAGATTTCAACACCCAACATCCAGCCTTGGGACGTAATATCAAGCCCTAACGTGGAACAAAACACCAAACAAGCAGCATGTTGCCCATGTCCTTCAGCATCTGGGCAAGCTGTGGAAGAAGACTTTGCTGTTCTCAGCATATTTCATACAAGAGATCAAAATAGATTCTCCTACATGCCATTTGTTCTAGCCACAAACCAACATTATGCCTCAAAAATGAAGAACACCTTGAATGAATCCTCGCCAAACTTCACCCAGGGGTAAACATGGAAGAGGCAACCCTGCCAACCAGAACTATCTTGGAGCAGAGGAACTTTGATCTAAGGGTAGCTAAAAGTGCTGCTCAATGAGCTTGAAAGTCTTCCCTGATAAAATTTTGATAGTGATGAGAGGAAATCTGAACATCTAAACTCTCAGCTCTACACTGATGTTTCTTCCACCAAACTTCCTAAGGAGAGAGAGGTCTGTGGGTGAAGAACAAGCAGTGCTCCTCAGGACACTGCCCTAGTTTAGCTACATGTAAAAGGCGCAGAAGATTTCATTTCATTTGATCCAAACACCATTTGCAAACTTGATTCACTTCCTTTCCAAGGCCAGAAAAAAATATCCAGAAATAGATAATTTTGCTCTAAGGGAACAGGAGAGAAGAAATTTATGATTTCACCATTCACTGCTTTGCCAAGGTCTTTTGAGGGAAGCATTTGATTGCTTCTTTTTGGTATTCAGTCAAAAAACTGTTTCAAAAGAACACTGTGATTTGGATAATAATATTCCCTAGCAAATGCACATCCTTAGTTCCTTTGTGAACCGAGACAACAAACATTCCCCTTGGGAAGAACCCAAAGGGTAATTTGTTCGAGTTCACCACTGTAAAACCAGAATAACTCAATGTCAATTGGCTCTCAGAGCGCCTGTACTCATCTCCCCAAACACCACACAGTTCCAGCTCAAAAATGCAAGATGAGAACTTCATTAATCCCTTATACCTTCTTGCTTTCTAATTCCTTTACTTACCAATTCCTGCAGATGGCACAGGAGGCTGTGCAACTACATGGCCATTCCTGACCGAGCGACCAGAGCAGGCAGATGTTCCAGTGCAGTGCTAAGGTGCATGCAAGCAGAGAGGGAAGAGGAGAGAAAAGCTAAATTCTTTAACCAATAAACTGTCAAGTATGTTATTTCTCTTGTTGAAGAACTGTCGTTCATCTCTTCTGGGCAGAGGGGCAAACTGGTGGTTCAGAGCAGGGGGAAGAAAAGCAGAACCTGCTTCTGTGAACATGCAGCTGTAGAAATCCTCAGGGGAGCTCTGATTGCATTCAAAGCAAGTCTTTAGAGGCATGGCTCATTACCTGACATGTGGCTATGGCCCACCATGATGTCACACAAGGGGCACAGAGTCTGGGGCAAAAAGTTTCTTGCTTTGCACCAAGAACTCACAAACGCTGAGTCCTTTCCTTGAGAAGTTCTTTCAAGTAGAGGAGCTTTTACTTCAGTGAAAATGAATGCAATACTTCCCAGGTGCGCCAAGTTAGCTCTATTGAGAAATGAAAGCTTAGGGAAGTGATGCAAGACAGAATTGGGAAGAAGAGAGGATGGAGTCAGTGACTGATGATCTGCAAGACTGTCTAACACAGGGGTAGTTGGAGCAAATCTGCCAGGGCAGAATATTTACTCCATTGAAGCCAGTGCTGGAAAAAGAAAACAATCTGTTGGCTGTGAGGAAAACAAACAAACAAGAGCAAAACACTAATCTTGCAATGACTGTGCATGCTACAACTAAACCACAGAGTCTTCCATAGACACATAGGTGAACAGTGCTTAGGCACCCTCAGGGGCCTGGAGGAGGAGTGATCACTCCAGCAGTGAGAGAAGCAGCATAACCAGATGAACTACCATGCCACAAAATAGATGCAAAGCAGAATGAACTAAAGAAGATCTGTAAGGGGAGCAGTGGGGCAATGCTCTGACTCATCAAAGAGGCAGGACTCTGGTACTTTCCTCTTGCATACTCTGCAGTGTCTTTAGTTACTGAATTGCAGCGGCGGGGCATTCCTCATGGTTTGTGTAACCTAATATTGACCAAATGTTTGACTCCATCTGCAAAGGAATCGCAGGGATGCCATGTGTGGACTTCAGCTGTCCACACAGATCTCTTGTCAACAAATCAAGCCAGGCCAAGGAGCACTGCAAGAGCAGCCTGCAGCCCCCCACTCTTACCTGCAACTCACAGGGCACTAGCAGACCAGTGCTGAGCAGACCTAGCTGCTCAAATATGGACACAAGTTATGTGGCCTGCTAGCATGCTTTGCTAAGATGGCATCCACTAAGATGGTACCACTCTTTCTGCCAGAATGGCTATAGAAGCAGAAAAGGGGAAGAAGAGCCTTCATGCAATGGATACTACCAATCTTCAGCTGGGTAGCTCTGTTTCATAGGGTATACCTCTAGCAAAAAGTAGATCTTTATGAAGTCCAAGCTTCCGGACACTCTGAAACCTGAATGAGTAGGAAACAAAAAAATCAAAGAACATCACATTTGTCTGCATAAACAAATGCAAAAGTTAAAGTCTACAGCTAACCTAAAACACTGGCTTCTTCACATGTAAGACAGCAGTTGCCCGAGGCCTTGACAGCATTAGGCAACACTGTGAACAGTGCTAGATGATGGTGGAAAGGCATAAGAGTCTTATGTTAACTGGTATGCCACTTGCAAAAACTATGAAAAAGGATTTTGTCAAGCAGCCCACAGCATTTCCTGTGCATGACTGCACCTGCTCTCTCGGCCACTACAAATTCCTTCCAAAGGCATGGCAGGAGCCATGCAAGTTCTTCCCTATTTCCTGAATGTCAAGCACCTGAAAATGGCACAGTTTTTAGAAGGATTATCACTGAGTACTTCTGAAAAGAAATGAGGGCCCTCAGAATGCCTACAGGCAGCAATATTTAATGGGAACTGCAGGTGACATGGCATTACCACACCACTGCTCTACTACTTTGCCACCAGCAAAGACATCTCCAGAATTTCTTCACTGACTTTGTTTTTCCTTCTCATGTTCAACGTGTTTGAGCTTGGAAATGCAAGGGGTCAGAGAGGACTGCATCCACAGCCTTCACGGAGAACTGTGTTGCTGATTTTTGGCTCACAGTCC